AGTGGAGTATGTGACTGCTTTATTCCAACCAACCGGAATAATACTGAGGGGCATTCAACTACTTATCTCGGTTGTTTTAATGTTACAGTGGGGTGAAGAATTAGAGTATATTAAACCGATTAGGTAATGTAGTAATTTTGGGTTAAATATCAGTGTTAAAGCAAATTTTTACTTCAATCTAGCCAGAAATCTTCGGGCGGGAATAAGGACTGCTGTTAGTTGAGCTGTTCATCGATCTTGAAATTTTGCTGCAAACGTCTCGATATCAGTCTAAGTGATGTAATTATTGCTTTAGTGCTTATCAGAACGAACCGTTTGTCCAATAATGGACAACCGGAGCTATCAACATTCACTTATATATTAAGGATCGTTTTATTTCTATGCTCCATCTTTTTGCGACTGACAATTAACGATTCAGGCCAGAGTCAGATTCTTGATCCATTTCTGTGTCAGTAAAATTAACCAAACATTATACCACCTGTCGAAATTATCATTCCTTTGGGGATAGGTGATTTATTGAAAGAAAGCGAATCAGCACAAAAGACAACTCGCGTGACCCGAAAACTGCCTTGATATGTATTTCTCGGCCACTTCCATAGGTAACAAGGTTCTTGGACCGATTAGGTTCCGCATTTGACTCAGTAAAACAATGGAACAGAACGTCAGCCCCTAAGCGAAGTCATCTAGTGGACACTTAAGCGTGCCGTGTTCACTTATCGAATCTGTTCATTTCGCCTTCTATTGGCTGACCAGTCATTTGCCCAAGTATATCCGGTCATTGCCTTCACAAAACCGCCTTAGATTAATAAGTCTACATATGAATGTGTCCCATGCAGAGGCTATTGTTGAATACAATGGAACACTGGATTTATCATGAGTATAAAAGCAAACGCATAACATTTTTCCGTGTTTAAAGAGTGCGGTCAAAAAGTAATGCATCAAAACAAAAATTACTCGTAGCGGTGCATTACTGCAAATTTCAAGTGTACACATTCTTGCTTACGTTGTTGCTTGTCCTCGTAACTTGGGTTGACTTCTGTAACGCAAGTGGTGTAATGCATTATCAACTCGAGTTTTGAATTCGGAGAACGTAGGTGTAGATATTGAAAAATGCGGAAGTAACTTCCACTGCTGGCGGTATTCCAACCGGCTATACGGCGTCGCCAACTTCAAGTAGTGACCTCTCGTTGAAGCGTTTCGGATGAGCTTCAGTAATGGTGAGCAGAGGTGGCAAGAGTCCTTGAGCATCACCTCTCAGAAGACGACATTTTTCACTAAAACTCCTGAGTCTTTCCTCACAACTGATAAGTGAGATGGAGCAATCTCTTCACAATTTTGTCTTCATCATTTGTGGCTTCTCAGGAGCATTGTGGTCATGTGTTTGCCGGGGATGTCACACCGCAACTGGGCTACACTGATTTACACAGACTAGATCTTCCTAACCTGAATAAAAAGGGTTCCTCTTTATTTGATTTGCTCAGTTCTCTTATTAACGGCATGATCCTTGTCACTTTTGCTGATTTATTTTCTTTCAAGTTCGGTGTTACTTTTTCGATATCCCCCTAAACGGGTGCGTTTGATGTGAATGTTTACTGGGAGCCTACCAGTTTATTACTCACCAATTTTGTTATACTGACTCCAGGGGATTGTGAATCATTAGTGGATGGGGCGGAGTGCACATTTTTCTTGAGTTTTCTGGGCTCAAAGAGTGGATCCATCCAGTGTGGAGCGGACTACGGCCCAGCCACCGCCTTGTGTACGCACGATTCCCTAATTAGACCGAAATGAATGCTGCTGCTGTACAGGTTGAAATAGTGTGGGCCGGCTCCGTTGGTGAAAGTTGGCTCAAATCCAGATGGCTCGTGATCTTATTTCTTCAGGTTTACACTGAATATGGGGTGTGTGGGTGGTGCGATGATTGTTACGGTGCAAGCCACCCATCATACCTGAGTAGACGGAGGCGTTCTGTGGTTGTCCTATGGAGGTCGCAGTGACAGGCCAATCCGCAACCGGATGCCGCCAACCATGTAAATGTCACAAAGGAGAAGCCGGACCAGATGCTTCTGATAATCAGTATACTTGTTATTCGGAAATGCACACTTGTTGGACAGCGTACTCGAGGATATGTCTCTGAGGGGAAATTACCGGTTCTGTAGAGTAAAGACTAGTCTTTATGATTTTGTGATGTTTCAAGCGCTTCGTGAGCCCATACTATGATTTGATTTATCGCAGCAGCCTGGCATTGTTTTATCTATCCATCATTTCCAAATGCAACCTCATCATTCATGTCAGATTTCACAAATTACGCATGATATGTTTAATAAGGTTGTGGAAAATATAACTGTCACATACATTCATCGATAAGAGAGCTAAACGTACTTGTTCCACTGCTTATGATCAAATCGCCTTTATCTCTATATCTAGGGCTTCAGATATAACCAACTTATTGGGTGCCATAAGTACTTGGGTAAAGCCGACATTCTGGGTATGACAGAGAGCAATTCATCTTTCGAATTCCAGTGAACCATTTGCTTGCATTGAAAACAGGTTGGTTGATCTCATCCTCAGAGGAGATAGCTGCCGCGCAACGTTGCTAGGATTTGTTTTACAGGTATCACTTAGAGAAACAATTCCTAGTATAGATGATAATTCTTCCGCCTGGTGGACGAGGATCCAATTTGTGCAGCAAAGATCTAGAAAAAATTCACGCGACGATGTTGACAATTTCTGCCCTCAATATTAGAAAGGTCAGGCAAATTATCACAACATTTTGTATTTGTATTTGACGATTTGCAAAATTAATTTGGTAGACAACAAAATGTTACTCAATCTTACCCGAGAACATCGAGAAGACAAGAAACACGGGATTCTTCAGATTAACTTTGGGCAGAACCTCGAGTTAAAGCATGGAAGAGTGTAATTAGGGTCATTGGTTGTGACGTTTTACTGGTGCACATTCAACTTAGAGGTCTTGAAGTCACGTCCTGTGAAGACGTGAGCTGTTAGGGAAGTATCATCTGTACCAAATAAGAAGTGTTAGCCTTCTAAGTGGTGCTGTTAGCTTAGTAAACTCATTCTTGAGAGATGTGACTGACTTGTTGATGCTAACACACAAAGTGAAGCATGAAAAAGATGAGCACTTTGATAACAGTTAATAAGGGGACTTAGACAAACTGAAAAATGTTCCTTGCAAGTTCGCCGGTTTAAACTCATTGATCAATTCCTTCTGCTTGCTATGTTGATGCGGGGCTGATGCAAGCAAACTACCCACCAAATCTTCGGAACAGTGGTGAAACAACTCGCTTTCCTCCTGACAGAAATGAGAACAGGTCAATTAAAATAAAATTACAGAGGAGGAGTAAGGGGAGCTGAATGGTATAGGTAGAAATTCGTCACATCTAGACTCACTCAGACAGCCATCACACGCCCGGAAAAGCACTGTACACGCGTTTTATCCTTTCGGGAATCGTCAGCAGTGCACATCCCATCGGGCCATGGAAGGGCTCGAACCGGCAACTCGACTGTTGCCAGTCCGTGGTCGAGACCACTGAGCTACGGGGGATGGCAACTACTATGGTGAATTTGTTACTAGGTATGATATAGCGCCGTTCACTATCCAGGGGGTTACCCTGTCCTCTGCACGGCAGTAACTTGTAAGTTTTTGGATAGTGTGCGATGCTATATCATATCTAGCAACAAATTCACGATGGTCGTTGCCGTCCCCCGTAGCTCAGTGGTCTCAACCACGGACTGGAAATAGTCGAGTTGCAGGTTCGAGCCCTACCAGGATCCGATAGAATGCGCACTTCTGACAATTCCCGAAAGGATGAAACGCGCGTACAGTGCTTTTCCGGGCGTGTGACGGCTGTCTGAGTGAGTCTAATGTGACGAATTTCTACCTATAAAATAAAATTAAAACGTATATTTTCGATTTTAAACGAGGCACCCCAAAGAAGAGGTGATCAGTTAGACTTTTGTATGTATATTGCAGCCAACACACTATAGCCTGCTGTATTTGTTACTCCAAATTATGTGCTTTTAAAATATGTCCTTTTGTCTTATAAACAAGTGACATTTTAACACTCCCTAATAGGTGAAAACGGCTAAAAACACTTATATTTTAAATGCTTAGTTCTTTGCGTTTTGTATTCCTCTGTGAAGACAGGAACAGTTATGGAAATTGGGTGTTGCCCACCCGAAAACACTGCACAACCACGAGGCATTTCGATGTAATTTCATCTCATCAGGTGGAGATAGCAGGCCTCGATCCCGCGACCATTGGAATAGTAGCCGAAACCTCTACCCCTTTGTCTACCGGGTCAAGATGGGCAACGCTTGGCACAATGGTAATGACTAATTGGAGGGTCAAGTTTGGACTACACGTTGTGTGATTGGATTGCGACGCGCAATCTCAATGTAATGGACTGTGGTTCACATTGAAGTGAAGAGGTTTCGGCTACTACTCCAATGGTCGCGGGATCGAGACCTGCTGTCTCCACCTGATGTGATGAAATTACATCGTAACGCGTCGTGATTGTGCAGTGTTTTCGGGTGGGCAACACCCAATTTCCATCTGCTTTGAGTACGGTCCCAGTGATCGCCGTGACTAAGGTTCACTTCAATGTGAACCACAGTCCATTACATTGAGATTGCGCGTCGCAATCCAATCACACAACGTGTAGTCCAAACTTGACCCTCCAAGGGACAGTTATGCTTAACTATACGTAATATTTACGCATGATATCTCCGAACCAAATTAGAAAGTTATCCATGCAACAGTATTAAACACTTGACAGAGATGTGTGCTCAGTTTCGGTGAGACAAAATATGGCATTTGAACTCCATGCTTTATCAAACTTAGTCCACGGTAAATCGATCGGTTTATTATTATTATATTTTGCAAACCAAAAGTTCAACCACCGATTAGTTTCGTGTTTTTTTAGTTAACACAAGTTTTGGAGATAGAGTCAACAATCGTTTCTGTTCCCAATTACTTGCAGATGTTTTGTCAACATGGACGGGATTTTTCACTTGTTCTCTGTTGTTCCCAAAAGTGAGTGACGCAGGAATGAGCTATTTACCTTGTCTGTCACATTATACTATGTTTTGTCTCCTAAATAAGTCGCTCAAACGTAGGATTAACACATATTTTATGCAAATATTTTGTTGCTTTAACTACGCGCGTGTACTAACGGAATATTGAAGGACCAGTAGTTTACACCTCTGTTCTCTTCATCCGATGCAATTTTCGGGCTTTTACACACTGTTTATATGTTGATACTCTCAGTGAAACTGAGACATTTGCTCACTACGTGATCCACCATTTCCATGCTTGTTGATTTCGACGGATTCGTTATGGTTAAAGTTTACTGAGCGCCCAACTTTACTTAGAATTACAATTCACTCTAGTGACTGATTAGTACTAAGCGTGCCTCTCTGTTTACTTTTGCAATCTCTCATGCTACCGTAGAATTTACCAAAACTGAGTCTCGTTTATCGCCAACTGGTTCTAAGGCTAGAGAGTATTATGGCCTTTACGTGGACATTTTATGTCTCCTTCTCACTTAACTTTAATAACCTCGGATTTTACCGGGTGACTTATTTCATTTCTACTTCATTTGTTTCGTCTTGTCTGGAAGAGTTTACACTATACACTAGCCTGCGGGAAACACGGTTTCACTTTTGAACAGCGACACCGCTGTGCCGACTTCGGTCTATGTGTTCTCTCTGCAGTGTTAAATTGCTCTTCTAGCTGTCTTCGTCACCGCTTCCATAAGTCAAATATTCGTTCAACGTGGTACAAGTGTCCCTCCGTTGGCAGCATGTGCGTGCAGTCTCTTCATCTCAATGGTAGCTCGATTCATCGAGGAAACCAGACATGTGAACACGTTGTTTGTCAATATCCTGTCTCCATGCGGCCGCATGCCGTGTTTTATCCAGCCACAGTATGATATCATGCGCTATGCTTGGTACTCTCTGAATTAAACACCATACAGGGCAGTCGCACACCGAGGGCGAATTCTACAGCACTCAGGCTGGCTAGCCTACAAACTCATCGATGATTACAGCGGACGTTTATCTTGAAGTTGCCAGAGCTTAATCTATTTGTTAGGTGCTAATGTACAGCGCACATTCACGAATTTTCGTATCGATCTTCAATAAAAGCGAGTGTTTCCGGGTGTGTAAATTAACTAATTGGTGGGACGAATTGACTCTGTACTACGTTAACGCTTACTCCACTCTGTTTGTGTCTGCATCAACCAAGCGAATAAGCAAACGCTTGATTAGGACAGTGGTTCCCATTCTGGAGGTAATTAACCTGAAAGAAGTAATATAGGGATTTTCCGAGGGGTAAAGATAACTAAAAGGATTGGATCATCGCTCAGTCTTGAAACAGAATTATTAACAAAATACTCTATATCGCAATTGGAATGTTCAGGTCGACAACCTTCTGACCGACTGGTATCGCTCGAGCATTGTCACACCTCAAGACACTGTACTGTGGACCATTTTGTTCCTGATCCATATGAACGATGTGCCTCAGCTTCTCCATTCGCCTTGCATGTTGTCTGCAGATAATTTGAAGATGTTGATAGAAATCCACGCACCCAATTACTGTGACCTGCTTCAGCAAGACCTTGAATACCTCTGCATGCGGTCTGCATAGGTCAACCTTCCGATCAATCCGGTCAAGTCGCAATTCATGAGGCTGGGTAAATGTGAACACAGTCGAAACTACACTGTGGCCAGTCAACCGTTGCATCCAGCGCCTTTCATGAGAGATCTCGACGTACTCTCAGGTTGCGATCTAAAGTCCATGGACAACGCGAATACGCTATACCAAAACCGCCTTCGTATGCTTTGCGCGCTCAAACGCGGCTTCAGCACTTGGCCCGAAGAGATTACCAATCGCCTCTTCGTCTCAATAATACGACCAATGACATACGACTCGCTAGCATATATTTTTATCACTCGTGTCGCGGTAGAAGGGATTGCGCGAGTACAGCATGTGGTTACCAGGCTGAGCCCCAATCTACGAGGTGTGCCGTACGAAAACCGGTATAAGAGACTAAGGCTTTAGGCCCTATCTTACCGTCGATTGCGGCTTGACCTCACCATGACACACCGGATAGTACATCTTGTTGATTACTCCGCTGCCGCATTTGCGCACCCCAAGCAGCACACCAGTAAACTGGCACAGGCTTTTAGTACCGGATTTGAAGCGGGTCGTTCAACAACTCTGTTTCGAACGAAGAGTGGTGAACGTATGGAACAACCTGCCACAGCACGTAGTTGTGGCAAAATCGGTGTCGATTCAAAAATTCCTAGATAGGCACTTTGCCGATATAAAATTTATCAAGAGCACTCCGACATAACAAGTCTTTGTGCGTAAATAACATGGGATGCAGCCACACAGGTATATCTCCTCATGCTACTTCCAACCAATAATCAGTAATCTAACCATCTAATAGCCAATGATTAGTCACTAGCGGCAAGCATCAGTGGTTGTCTAATGAACTGGACCAGTAGTACTCAACCTGGGGGCAATTATCGCCAAAGAGGTAAAACGAAACTTTACAGGTGGGAAATATAAGTACGAGAATTGGGTCTTCATTCCGTTGCCAAACCAAATTAAAAATAGGTCATCTGTCTCAAAACATATAACTAACTATCTAATCACCATTGACTAGTCATCAGCGACTAATCACTAGTGAGTGGTTAGTGAATTAGCCAATTTCCGGTACTAAATTTTATTACCTAGACTACGAAGACAAGTCTGCAAAGCAGCACATCTAGATGACGCCTCTATCGGCTCGCTCGTAGATCATTGTTCTTTTGAGTCAGACAGCTTTTCGCCAGGTCGAAGTACAGATTTGAGTGAACACTAATGGCCAGCCGACTAGTTAATGGAGCGAGCGAATGTTTACAAGTTAGAATGGACAAAACAGGCGATTAGTGTTCAGGACGCATCGATACAGAGTAGTGGTGGGAAGGAATTGGAACGGTGGATGAAACAAATGAGATGCCATTGACATTTGTCCATGTTTGATCAGGGATCACACACAAAAGGGTTATGAGATGTTTGAATCGGGACAACAGCAAGCGTTATCAAGTGCACAAATCGTTAGGGCCATACAACCAAGTTAGGTAGAAAATCTTGAAGGCTAGTGCTCTTTAGAGGTTGGTTTAATCACATTCGTCCATAGTTGTTCTTGACAACAAGCAAGTGCGAGTGAGTGAATTAATTATATGGCTTTTAATACCCACAATAGTGAGCTTATTTGCAAATATTTAGGGCAATACCACCCGGGTTATGGTCACCTATGCTAACTCGCGTAAATAAATAAATAAATGACACCGGTTAGCTAACTTATTTTTCGAGAAATGGTCTTACGAAGGAGCTTTTGCGCTGGGGCTTTACTAATTTTGGCAGCAAAAATGTTGTGAAGCCTTAATGTGTTTTATGTAGCAAAGTGCTCAGGACAGAGCATGAAATTCAGTAAATTGAAAAACCAGTTTGAATGCTGTCATCTTCAGTTTATAGAAAAATGTATTACATTCTACAAACGTAAATAAGTTGTACTGTAAAGTTCGCGCACGGATACACGGGGGTAATTTTTAGTCAGCTGAAGCTGGCCTTGGTGCCTCGTACCGCATCGCTTTTTGCATGGTCGAAAATATGAAACTTCATACAACAGAAGACGTCACAAAGCTTCGCATTATGGATGCGGTTAATCTCGATTTTGGAGAGCAATATACGGAGAAGCTAAGTATTTTATCGCTTTCCGAATACATCATCCAAATTCGCATCGAGGACATAAAAAAGAATAATTGTGGATATTTGTGAGTCGTGTAAAGTTCGCAGAAAGTAGAAATCACGATTAAAATTCACACACAATAATGTGCCTCGACAGGGAATCTAACCCCGGCCAAACGAATTTCCGGTCCGCTGCTCTACCACTGAGCTACCTAGGGTTGACGATTAGGTGCGAAATTTTTAATACATGACTTCTGCTTGGTGCGCGACGTATTGCCAACGAGCTCATAGTATCTGTCCTAGTTGGGCCGGGGTTCGATTCCCCGTCGAGGCAATATTGTGTGTGAATTATAAAAAAGGATAGTTTGGACACGGTCCTCAATGAAATAAAGTCGAATCCTTTCTTCACACTGCAGTTAGATGAAGCTGTTGATGAAGATGTATCTACTTCTGAACTAATTGTCTATGTTTGTTACATAAAAGGCGATGACTTCAAAGAAGAGTACTTGTTCTAAGAATGGCTGAACACAACTGCATGTGGTAAACATGTCTTTCGAACAGTGAAGAATCTTGTCGAGGAAAAGCAGCTACAGTGGTCGAAGTTAACGTGTGTCTGTACAGAGGGAGCATAAAGTATGTTGGGCGTACGTTCCGGACTGTAAACATTAATCAGACCAGTTGCTGCGCACGTCACATTTAGCCACTTCATTATGCATGCTTGTGGTTTAACAGTAAAAAATCTTCAATCTGCTTTGCTAGACGCGTTTACTCAGAAACTGGAAATTATAAACCTCATCAGCAGTAGTTTGAAAATACAAGCGTTCAATGCGTAATGTCGTGCATTTGGAGGCAAATTCGACGTACTGTTATTCGACACATAAATGCGTTGGCTATCATAAGGCAAGGAGTTGCTCTGAGAAAAAATAATTATGTTTCTTGAAAGGAAGAAGCTGCGTAATGGTAAGGAGAACGGATTACATGCTATAACAAAAAAACAACGCATTTATTTCAAAACTAGCACATCTTGCGTATTTCTTCGGAGAAATACATATGCTTAACCTCAGCTTGCAAGGAAATATGACGACTATTTTAACGGCTCAGGATAGGGTTACCAATTTTCTACGCAAATCGCAGCCTTATCAACTCAGAGCTGGTGTAGACGACGTTTCCATACTTTTAAAACCAACAATGGTGCTCGTTAGAATAAATGAAAAATTCACATTCACAGTTCAAATAACTGTCCACTTATCATCAGTGGTGCTTCCTATCAATTAATATTTTCCTGTATCGGAAATGCGTCATGAAAAAGGATTAAGTACTAAACTAGTTTTAGTGATTGAAGAAAAAGTTTCTAATAATGAAAATGAAGCCAAAGTTCCTTGAACTTCGCGAAGACAGCACATTGTAAATTGTGTTCAAACGCACACAACCAGCAACATTTTGGGCAAAGTTTGGTGGCGAGTATCCATTGTTATTAGAAAAAGCTTTGAGAATACTGATCCCATTCGCCATAATCTATAGGTGTAAAAGTGGATTTTCGACAGTGGTGACAATGAAAGCAAAGACAAGGAGCGGGATGAATTTGGAGCGTGACTTACGGTGTGAAGTAGCCTAGACAGCACAAAATATATCGGAAATTGATTAGGGAGCCATTTTGAACTGCACGTTGTGCGATTGTATTGCGAAGCGCAATTTCAGTACGGACCTTAATTCGCATTGTAATGAACAATTGGTCAATTTGATGACTAGAACCGTAACTGAAGCAGGTGGTAACTGGGTGGTGGTGGCCTGAAAACACTGCATACCACGACGTGTTTTGACCCTGTTTTATCTCATCAATTAGAGATACCGGGCCTCGAACCCTAGACCATTGAAATAGTAGCGGAAGACTCTAGTATTTTGCTGCTATTCCATTGGTCCCGGGTTCGAGGCTTGCTATCTTCACCTGATGAGAGAAGCTAAGGCGAAACTCGTCGCGGTATGCAGTGTTTTCAGACAAGGAACACTCAATTATCCTCAGCTGAAACTACAGTCCAACTGATCGACGGGTTGCAAGTCACATTGCATTTTGTGTGAAAAATGAACAATGATTTATAACGGGTAAAAAGCAGGTGCTTGACATGTCCCGTAGGGATAATGGAGTCATCATTTTGGGCGATTACAGATGTAACTGCACTGTCGTATAAAGGGAGTTTGAAATGAGAATGTACGCACACAAAGCAGTAAGGGGAGTGGTTATTGATCACATAATAGGCGAGAAAAAATAAAAAAGATGGCAAAGACAACTCTTACGCGTGTGCAACTATCTTGGGTCGACAGGCTACAAAAATCCAGTTTCTATAGTAGTAACGTTTATCAAATTTCGTGCAAGGCGTTTGGAGTGACTTATTCTCGAGTGGGGTTATGGAAGTATCCCTTGTCTGTTGTGTATTTGTGCCAGCATCTGGTGGTCATGGGGCTATAGCACGTAGTGTGAATGTGACAGAGTATCGTCAAAACGTTTTTGAAAAGGGATAGTGTAAGTGCATTACTTACATGTGCCGGGACGGCGTTCCAAGGCTGTGTCACTCGAAGAGAGAAATAGTTTCGCCGACATTCCAGGCAGCTGTACTGCGTGACTAACTTAAACTGGTGACCTCTTAGCGAGGTGTTTTGACTGAGTATTAGAAGGGAATGGCATGGGTGAATGGGGTTTTTCAGGATCTGGTACACCGTTATGAGATCGCCCCTTAGACGCCGATAACGTCCACTGTATATTTTGAGGGTCTTCAGCCTGAGTGGGTAGGGGAGGTTGGTCAAACCTCTGACGCTCTTCGTTGCCCTACGTTGTGCAGTATCGAGCGCGGTGAGATGGTGCTTGAGCCAGAATTGCCACGCTTGAATAGCGTATTCCGCGTGCGGCCTCACGTACGCACTAAGCATTTTTGGAAAGACTGAAGGGTCAAACTTCCCGAAAGCTCTGCGAAGAAGGCCGAAGTACTGGTTTGCATTCTTAGATGTCTTCTCAGTCTGCCTCAAACAACCGAGGTCATCTTGAACTATCACGCCGAGATCGTAATCGTGAGAAGCCCGCTGTAGAATTTGTGGTCATAGGCGGTACTTGTGCATACTCTTGTGCCGTATGCTGGGAACTTTGCACTTGTTGACGTTGAAATGCAGCATGTTCTCGATGGACTGTGTACGCTTTGTCCAGGTCCTTCTGTAAGAATGTGTGACCCTCCACTGCAGCTATAGTGCGCCATACCTTTAGGTCATTAGCAAATAGCGAACAGTTAGAAGATAGCACACTTGCGAGATTATTTATGAAAACCAGGAACAGGCGGGGTCCAAGTACCGAGCCTTGAGGTACGCCGCACTGAACTTGGATGGATTCTGATAGGTTGCTTCAAACCCTCACATTCAGGTCACGTTGCACGAGAAAGTCTCTTATCCAGCCCAGAACAGGATCGCCGATTCCATATTGCTGGAGTTTGTGGAGGAGAATACGATGGTCTATACGGTCGAATGCCTTTGAGAAATCCAAGTAGGCCGCGTCGACTCCTACACCAGCGTCCACAGATTCCGTCCAGCTTGCACAAGCAATCAAGAGATTAGTGGTACAGGAGCGGTTTTGGCGTAATCCATGCTGCTCCGAAACGCGAATTTTGTTGTTCTCCAGGTACCGAATCAACGCCTCAGCTACAATGGACTCCATAATCTTAGAGATCACAGGCAGTAGTGTTATCGGGCGATAATTTGCTGGTTCAGCACGACTGTCACTTTTATAGATAGGCGTGATGGTTTCGTGCTTCCACATCGTGGAGACGTGCATCTCGTTCAGACATCGTTGAAAGAAAATCGCTAGTGGTTTTGACAAACTCATGGCAGCAATTTTCAACGCCTTCGGTCGAATGCCGTCCGCACCCGGGGAGCTGAACTCGCGCAGAGACATCAGCCTCTTCAGTACAGCTGCGGAGGTGAACGATATGTGATTAAGCCCTGATGGCGGCGTTATCTGCTTAGGCAGAATGTATGATGATTGCACGCTTTGGAAGGTACGGCCAAATTGTTGTCCAAGGAGGTTGGCCGCCTCTTGTGCGGTTTGGGCTAACCCGTATGCTGTGTGCAGAGCAGGAATACCGCGCTTAACACGGCGCAAATTGTTTACGTGTCTGTATAGCAGTTTGGGATTGGAGCAAAACTTTTCCACCAGAACTTGTTGGTTCTTCAGTTTATCCTCTCGCACGAGTTTGACACAGTGGTTCCTGTGTATTGTGTAGACATCCCAGGTATGGTCGTTCGGGGAGGCTATGTGGGTGTGCCATGCCAACTCCCTTAATGCCATGTGTCTAGGTGTCCTGCTCCTTACGAAAGACTTCATCCTTTTAGGCCGGTAGAGTATGGTTTCAGATGTCCTTGCCACAAGCTTTGTAAATATATTGACGAATTCTCCGCAGGCCACCTCAGGGATCAAGTCGATTAAGAACGATCAGCTTGTTGCATCAATGAGGTCGGACAGGTCGTCACAGTTGGTTACGACATGATATTCCTCGGCATGCTCTTTCGGATAATCCGCGTAGCACATGTAATGAAACACTAGCGTAGCATGATCACCGCGCCCCAAAGGAGTATCGGTTATCATTCTCTCGACCATCAATTCTTCATTGGTGAATATTCGGTCCAACATGGATGACCTGTCAGTTCCCCTGAACCTGGTGGGCGTAGTGACGTGGCCATAAAGCGGGAAGTCTGAAACCATATCTTGCAAATCTGCTTTGAATTGCTCTCCTGGTGTGATCTGTGATTCGAGGGCATGTAAGTTGAAGTCACCGGTAACTAGAATGTTTAGCGATGAAATTAACCTTTGCGGTTAGTTATCTCCTCAGCGGTTATGTATTAATTAGCAACAAATACACCTACTAACAAACCGTGTATCTAGATTTGCTTCCCACTTCAGCCAATTGCTAGGTGTATACTTTACAAGGGAATGCGCCGGTACTGCAGTGCACTATAACAAGCTAACAGCATGAAACATGTCACAGTGATCGAAATACCTAAGCGTACTTCAAAGTCAATTGTTGTCCTATGCGTCTCAATCAGAGCGCACATCCAGTGGTGCAAAAAGAGTACTATAACTTACCCACTGTTGTGACAAGCGATGCTCGTGTACATTGGTGATCCGTTAGTGGAGGAGTTGGTTGCCAACTGAAACCTTCATGATTCGATTCTTAACTCTGGTTATCCAAGCGTAGATAATAGACAAGCGTGCAACTGGTGCTTGCGTATAGTAGTCAAAACGAATATCTGTCTATCAGAGGTGCACTTTGGGAAAAAACATATTTGAATTTCGTATCCGTCTTTTCGCGGGCGCATTTTATTAATACATTTAGATGCAGTGACTAAATAACAGAAACAAACTAGTAAGTCATTTGCTTGCATTAATGATGCAACTATTTTATAATTCTCGAAGTATTGACTTAAACTACTGCCTTAGGAATTTTTCCCATAAAGTTGTGAAGTTGCTTGCCGACATTTCCCTTCGATTATATTGTTTCATGTTGTATTTAACCTATCATATCACATAAAAATGTATTGAACTTTGATTTAAACACGAAGTTGTGACCGTCGCTGCAAATCTCAGCATCTTTAGGTGATATGCCTTGACATTGCCTTAGAGACTGATGTTTCCCTTTTTCTCAGGTAACATTAACGAGTGTCAAGAAGCGTCGGATCTTGGAACAAGATTGTGTCATGAGAGCAATTGTGTCGATGTTTCGCCTGGATACAGGTGTTCTACCGATGACTATTTGGACCTGGAGACTTGCAAAGGTGAGCAAGGATTACAGTTATCACAGCAGAAGTAGAGGATTGTATAATGCATTTATCTGAAAATGGATCTATGTCAGTACAAATTATCGCTAGCATGTTCCCCAATCAGTGGGGTTCTATTGCGCAAAGCCTACGGTAATCGTAAAGTCCCTCCAAACGCCTCGCGTAAAACTGAAATTGACGTCATTTTAGGTGTGGTTTCAGGGATATAAGTAATGATGGTGTTTTCCAAGGTAACTCATTGTCCAGATCGAGTCCGCGTATCACCAGTCATGCAAACTAGACGTCGGAAAATCCGAAGTTACTGTACTGATTTTCTGAGTGAAGAAATAATGAATGTTTGCTGTCAGCCTCGATCCCCTGAAACGACAGCGTTACAGTGAACTGCTTATATCTGCATCAGTAGGTTATACATACTCAGACTGACTTCACAGTCTACCGTCACAATACAAAATGACGATTGCATCTTAAGACTAGTAAACATGAGGTTATTTCCGTGACATATTGATGGAGTTCAACGAAAATAGCGGACTACTACCAGTTTTGTAGTTGGTGGCATATCAAGCGTCCGTCACGAATGTACTTTTTTGGTCTTGCTGCCAACACTGATTACATTGGTGCAATTTAGACCGCTTTTGGGTTCAATATTTATGTGTCAGTTATGAACTTGCATCGACATTTTTAAACAGTAGTAACGTGATATAATTTGTTTTCGTTTGCCACGGGAATCTGGCGTTGCTTAGATGATGAATTCCTAACTGACTAACTGTTCCTGGCTTTTTAACCATGATAGTTTCTAAGAGCTACGTTTTGCTCATTTTAGCTAAACCGGATTGGTTTTGTCCTCATACGGTAAGTCCAAGTCTGATGGTATTTTTGCACCTGGTTGACTGTTTCGTTCACCGATATGGCATACTTATCCTATAAAGAAACAAACAATAAGTCTGGAAAATTGTCAGTTACTGTTTGTTTGCATATTTCACACATTAAAGTGCATTTTCTCACTGCCCTTAACCGGAATTTAAACGAGGATTACGTTGTGGTTTTTGTGTCTGAGGCATAGAAGCCACAAATGGAAATGTGGCATCGTTTGACTTTTGCTGTAATGTAGCATATTCGACTTATTCTCATCAGTCGAACAGTTTTTGTTTCCCCTCAGACGAAATAAGCAACCAATAATTCCAAATTTAATTGCAAGGAGGCGTATAGAACATTTGACAGTAGTATAAAATTCAGAGTTTTGAATAGACTGTCATGAAACGCCTCTGGAGTTTTTTTAAGGATACGAGACCAGAGAATCACGAATCGATCTTTGGCGCGACTGTGTATTTTGCTATCTTTTTTTATTGACCATTTTCGCAGGCCACCTATGACTTTATGTCCAATGACAACTGCCAAATCAATAAATGTGTAGAAGCCGCCAATCAAGGTGTCCAATTGTGCGACGTCGGCTTTGACGATTGTGTCCATATCAATATGACGTATCATTGTCGCCGCGGGGTCCCTCTGCTGGACATCTGCAATTCCGTCAGTCGTGGTGCGTTATTCACATGGCAACTTTTTATTTATTTACTTATTCATTTGTTGTTGCTGCACGTCTGCTATAGTTGGTGCCACGCGGATTTTTCACATAAGAAGCGTAGTGTCACTGCAACCGTTTACTCTTTTGGTTATTTTTGCTGAAATAATTTGGATCCAGTGATTGGTACACGTTTTTTTATCGTTTCGCAGTAAAGAAAAGGGACCAGCCCTGTACACAGAGCAAGCCCACTATACAAACTTTTGTCTTGAATCCGCTGCGTTTGTTGATTTATAACTGCCTGATAAAAACTGCTAGACTATCATACTCTAAGACTCACGGCTGACCCAAACTGATAATTTGGATATTCTGGTTGTCTGTTTGTTGTGAATAACCACTTGCAACTTGGTGAAAACAAACTTGAAACCGATGTCCTTGGTGTTTTGGTTTGATTAATCCTGTGCATATCAGATTCTGTTCCAAGTCGAATAGTTCTTCGTATTGAAAGTTAAACTACCTAGTGTCACGTGTGCACAACATCGCAATGCATTTTGTCGTAGTGGAGTTATTTTCAGTCATAAGTTTGCAGTATGCAGCCCATATTGTTCACACTGTAATCTTAAATTGATACCTAGCCAGATCTGCTCTTCACATTTTGTGTTGCATACACCATCTTTGTGTGAGAGCACATGAAGGACTGAGCTGTTCCAACTACATGGTATGGGGCCCACATTTTATTTGCGCACCAAAAGCCTCACTGGTATCATTATCTGACATTTTGTTTCTTTCCCGTCATGTAACACAAGCCACGAATACTGCCCACATAAAACAGGCCAAACAGAGTGAGCTATTTACTAGTATTAACCTGGCGGTCTACTTTTACCTCATCTCACTTCAGTTGATAGTAAATCAGGTCGTTTCCGCTGGTTCAGTCATAGTATATACCCGTGTTTTCCAGCGAAACAACCAGAAAATACCACTAGACACCCTCAACTAAACTGGTAGTAACGAAGGAAACTGTGATATTCTGAGTGGCCAGCAGAATATCTCTACGCCATTGCTTGGGCAGCAACAATTTTTTGACCCAGACATCAACTACAGCACATCGCTTTTCTGAACCTGTGAATCACAACACACCTTTAAGCCGCCGATCGTCGGCTATTGTGCTGGATCAACCAACAACACCCATAGTTAAAGACGGAAAATTGATGAACATGCAGCCAAGGTGCAACCGCGCATTCTGACTTCACACAAATCGATCAAAGAAGTAGTGAACCACGATGCACCCCGGAACTAGGCGATTGTATGTGCGCTCGACATATAACGTGTGAGAACCAGTGTGTATAACGGCCGTGCTGCACATTCGCTCCTCTCCTTTGTCTGCATAATGTCTAAGACGGCGATGTTTGTGCGGTTCAATGATGGAAAGTTGCGCAATGGGTCATGAATGACAACAAACTTTTCGAGGAGAAATATTTGTATCTCTACCAAATGCATGAAAATACCCATGTGCGAACATCGCGTTATTGACCGACGAAACCACATCACCCGCTTGCTTGACCAAATTTCCTCTCACTGGATGGCATTTGTACTAGCACCTGTGTCTGTGAACACTTGATGATTTTTAGCCTGTCTAAATAGTACACTGCTAGCTTCCGGTCATGAGATACAGGAAGTGAAACGCACTCCAACATGACCATTTGCATACACGGCGAAGCCGCTTTGTTGATTGCTGCGTCACACAGCCGCACTCAGCTTGTCGCAGCATTTCAGCCGCTCGTGTATCTGAGGCAATTCCGTCATTTCCGCCACGAAGTCGCATTGAAATTAAATCAGATATCAGATACGCGGGCCGTATTACTAGATGAGTGGTTTTTAAGACCGGTTGTTGAAATCATGCCCATAATCCAGCTTACACGTATTGTTCATTTGCAGCGGACGCAATACTTGTTGTTGTGTTCCATTTAGAAAATCGGATGAGCATAGTGAATAAACTAAGGTACTAAAATTTCCACATGCCAACCGATTATCTATACCACTTATCAGTCGATTGCATCCATAGCGTTTTCAGCTTCCTTCTTAAGGAAATCACGTTCCCCTTTTGATCTCGAGAGATGGACTTTAACGCTTTCAAATTGCATCCAGCGGACACGTACATCGAGTGACCGGTCCCAAATCATTCAACAGCATCCCGATATGTTTATTCGTCTGTTATGCTATCGACTGATTTGAGGTTGGTCACTCAAGGAACAGCTTACATTTTCAGGAGCGTTTCCGGCTGTGGGATGCAAGTTGATAGCCTTATGGCCATCTTGAAAGATCTGTGAAGTCACATGAATTACTTGAGGCGGAATTTGAAAGGGTTATAGATGCAGTTCGTTGGGATAAACCGCATTCCAAGGCCAATATCCCTTCCAATAGCGAAACGAAGATTCATTTTCCGAACTTTGGTTCCGCCCAGCCAACATTGTTTCGCAAGGTTACCTACCAAACGGCTTTGCTAAAATTCATGACTGTGCATTGTGTTACTGTCATTTTCTTCCGGTGAACGTTTACTACAGGAATGGTCTACAACTGGTCGTCCTTTTGGCAGGCAGTGGTTTCCCTAAGTTGCCTTGGTATTGACGCTTTGGCACGCAATCTCTGGCTGTGTGCCTCGAAGTGTGATTTACACCAAGTGACCGCTAACCCAGATTGTACTCATTATTTACGTTTACCATGTCATCAACTGCCAAAAAAATCTACCCTTCAAACCCTTTTACGGCAGATCTCAACCTCTCCTGCCCGGAACTCACTCGTGATACACCCAACTTGGAGGTCAGTTTACGATTAATCACCCTTGATGTCAGGTAAAACAATGTTCATTTTTCGGTATGATAAACATGCACACAAGACCAATAACTTGGGTAAGCGTGTAAACTTGTATACTTGGCTATGGGGCAAGTTAATGTGCCATTGTAGTTTAGTGGTGTGTCATGCCTTTAATCCGATGTAAATATGGCATAAAGTTATACAGCTGCTTGTGAGCTTTAGATGTGCATAGCCTGGAGCATACTTCGGCTGTATTGCAACATATTTTACTCCTCGGCCATAGTCGATCGACTGGCATTTTACTAAGTCACAAACCTTGAATCATATCCGTGTTTATGATGTATTTTTCTAACATACTGAACTATTGGCAAGCACCGGATATAGGGCTCATGTTTCTTTCCTCACACTTGTGGCATGTTTCGGAAGCAGAGTGTTCAGACAAGGACTACGCCAGGGGTATTCGGACGCAGACCATACCGTTCTAGTCACTTTCAAAGGAGAGTTTGCGTTGCATTATTGCTCTACTAATCTGCTGTGATCAGCATGCATAAACCAAGCAGCACGTAATCGATTCGATATTTCAACATCTGTCACCTTCCTCGATCAGATATTTTGTCACGGAGGTCTATAACGCATTTCGCTTTGCATTGGTCTCCATTTGATATGGTCTTTTGTCAGCTCGCGCCCAACCGTCTCTCTGGACGCATTTACACCTCCATAAAATTCAGGCGTGAGTTTATCTGGTGCCTACTGTCGGCATTAGAAGCAATCTTGGACAGACGCTGGTGGTCGCGTGTTCAAATCCTGATGAGATAAAATGATATTGAAACGTGTCATGGTTGTGCATGCAGTGTTTTCGGCAGGCAACACCTAATTTCAATCTTGAGCAGGTTCATCTGTTAGAAAAGTAGCCAAATTCAGTCTGACGTATTTTAAGCAGTTGTTTTCTCGAATTGCGGACTGTGTGCATTCCATGAGGGGAAGTTACATAATGGTAATTGTTATGACGCATCCAAGTTGTTTCGACAGTCGGAACAGACGGACGTTCTTCACATATTATACTCCACACGCGCGAAGCAGCCAGTCGAAATTGGAACGTTGTGGACTAACGTCACCTAACCGCCAGACGTACGCGCAAGACGAAAAACGCGTAACATAGCTCGACTGCACTGAGACCCGAAGAAAAAAGGACTGAAACTTAGCCAGAATTCTTTTACTGACCTAGCCAAGGCGATGCATGCTTTCTACACCATTATATTTATAGCTCGACGTAGTAACAGTGAATTGCGTAAACTATAGAGTAGTGGTTCCCAACCTTTTTGAGGCCGTTACCCCCAAATCGGGTACACTTTAAGCAGTTATCCCCAAACTTTCTGAAGTCAAATAGCTAGCAACTAATGCATTTTTCTTTAAATAAAGACAAATGAATACCATATATAATTACTTTTGATCATGCAAATAAACGCGACCCCCATTGTAGTGCGTAAAAAATCTATGAGTTTCTTTCATTAAGTACCGCGTTCAAGGTATTCTTGCTGATGTCCTGAAGGCGAACTTGATGGTGCTGTTAGAAAGCGATATCACACTTATCCTTAACGCATGTTGCTGTACACCGACGATTCTTAACATTTTTGAGGCTCTCACAAATGGGGTTTGCTATAATCAACCGGCCCCCCAATTTCCGTTTCAAACACTAACGAATAACTATTGCGCTGTTTGCTTCTAAATACGAGGAACTGATAGCTATTTGGAATAACTCTCGATCAATAAAAGAAAGAAAACAGTTGTTTGGTACAACATTGTATGTAATCAAGAGGCGATGGGACGGTTTATATTGCTTAGTGCTAACAAGTACTGGTATATTTGGTTCAGTTTCTGCTAATGCACATCGGAAGTCGTGCTCCAGGTTCATTCGACTCCTTGCTTTTGTTTTCATTGTAACCATTGTCGAAAATCCACTTTCACATCTATAAGTTGTTGCAAATGGGATCAGTATTCTCAATGCTCTTTCCGATAGCAATGGATACTCACCACCTATCTTTATTCCAAATGCTACCAGCGGTGTGCTTTGGAAATCTATTTTTAATTCGTTATCTTCGCGCATTCCTAGGAATTGTGCTTTAGCTTCGATGGCAGCAGCCGGTAGGATTTCCCCATTCACTGAAAAGATCCTTAGCACCCAGGCATTTACTTGGCGATCTTCAAAATCAGGAAAATATTTGCTGATGGAATGGACCGCTGATGACAAGTGGCAAGTTATATCATCTGTGAAAGCGCATGTTTCATTTCTTCCAGCGAGCACCATTAATAGTTCTGGTAACATCGACACATCGTCAACTGTTGCTCTGCGTTGGTGAAGCTGCATTTTAAGAAGAAAACTGGCAACGTTATCCTGACCAGTTAACATATTAACCATATTTCCTAGCAAGCTGAGGTTCAGTGCATTTATTTCTCCGAAGAAATCTGCAAGATATGCTAGTTTGGAAATAAATACGTTGTCTGTTATCATGACCTGTAACCCGTTCACCTTATCCTTTTGCAGCTCCTTCCTTTCAAGAAACATTGCAATTTCTTCTCGAAGCTCGAGCACTCAGTGCAACACACTGCCTCGTGATAAACAAAGCACTTCCGTGTGCAATAACAACACGTTAAATTTGCCTCCAAATTCATTGCACAACTCTTTGAAAACTCTTGTATATGTCGCACTACCACGGATGACATTTATTATTCTCACTACGTTGGTTAACGTGTCCAGCAAAACAAGCGGGAGTTTTCACTGCTAAAGCATAACGATGTATTATGCATTAGCTGAAGGTACAGTGCGGAGCAAATTTTTCGACTAACGTTTGGAATCCAGTACGGACGCCCAACATGGATGGTGGTCCGTCTGTACAGACACCTAGCAACCTCGACCACTGTAGATCCTGTCCCTCGACAAAAATCTTCACTGTTCGAAAAACATCTTCGTCACGTGTAGTTGTGCTCAATGATTCTGAAAACAAGTATTCTTCTTTGAAGCGGTTGTCTTTTATGTACCGAACATAGACCGGTAGTTGGGAACGGAATGCAACGCCGGTCGACTCATCTAACTGTATTGCGAAGAAAGGACGACTTTATTTCGTTGAGCACCTTATTCAAACTATCCTTGCCCATATCCTCGATACGACTTTTGATTGCGTTGTTAGAAAGTTATATCATGCTTATATTTTCTGCATGTTGCTCTCCAAGAACGAGCTTCACGGCATCAATTATGCAAGGTTCTATGCGATCCTCTCCTATAGTATGCAGTTTCTTGTTTTCGGCGATTCGGAGAGCGATGCGGAACGACGCTTCAAGACCAACTTCGATTGACTGAAAAGAGGAGCCCGATGGATCCAGGCGCGAACTTTTGAGCGCAGCTTCTTTTCGTTTGAAGAATGTAATATCTTTTCTTACAAACTGAAAATGACTTCGGTCGAAGTGGTCTTTCAATTTGCTGGGATTCATGCTCTCCTGCGTGAACACTTTGCTGCACAAAACACATTGCAGCTTCTCAACAATTTTATCGACAAAATCGGTGAAGCCCCATTGTAGAAAAGCCTCCTTGTATGACCGCTTTTTTCCAGAAGACATAGTTCTTGCAAAAAATTAGGCAACTAAATAATACATATAAATATGAATATTTTCATGATTTAATGTAGGTGACCTTATCGTAAACGTTTACGGATAAACTCATTATTGTCGACATCAAAACCATTGAATTAAGTCACTCACCTGCTACGGTTTCCTGTCACAAACAACTGTAGATGAATGTGATCAACCCAACACCCAATCCGCTGATTCTGCCTATTTGGTGACCCCAAACGCGGTGTTCTGAGCACTTCCAAACGCCTGCTGTTATCTCCATTCAAGGCATCATATGACCCTTTCGTGTGTGAATCATGTTCAAACATGAACAGATATCAGTGCCTTCTGACGTGTTGCAATCCTCCATTCTAAGTCATTTATGCATGATTATTTGACACCACCACTATATCGATACGTGATGAAAACTAATTGTCTGTTTTGACCCTTCTAACCTGGAAACAATGGCGCGTCACCTTTCTTGGTCGTCTGACCAAGAGCAGATAGAGGCGTCATCTGGTTGCAGTGTGACTAATGGCTGGTCACTGATGGCTAATCCAAGGTTCATAGGTAGTTAGCGACATGTGGTTATTAAACTTGTTTAGCGACCGACTGATGACCCAATCCTCGTACTAATATTTACCCCCCCCCCCCGCAAAATGCCATTTTACTCCTTTGGGGGTAAGCTGAAGATCCCTGATGCTTCATTGCGGTTTGACATGATATATACATCAATGTCATGAAGAAAGTTCAGTGGGTTCACTGCAGCTTGAACAGTATACGCATCAGGTTCCAGAGTAGAGCTCAGTTGGTTTACTGTGGCTTGGTATCCATGTTCTGAAGATGGCTCGGTTGTTACTACCGCAGTCGCCGCATGGTAATTGTATGTCTGAGATGAGCCCAGCGAAATCTGCGCAAGATTCGCGCAGGTATACGTGCGCCGAAACAGTAACTCTTTGACGTGAACGAACGCATACAGAAGAATGCTTGGAATCATGTAAGATAACTGAGTCACAAACGATGAGGCTTGTTAGAAGCAGCATCTGAATAGCTCAGAATCAGGCTAAAATTGGCTGATTCCTTCGGTGCTGTTTAGATAACAGTTGCACTATGCTAACTTATGTTTTGTCACTTTGAGTGCTGCCTACTTCATATTACGATAGCAACCAAATGTGTAATCCCCACCTGAGTTGCAATACTACTGTGCTTACTAGGATGTTAAAGACATATAGATTCATCTGGACACGAAGTCAAACACGGTGCGTCAGTATCTATCCTCTTGCTACCCCTGTTGTAGTGTACACATCCAGTTACTCCATTCCATCTTGTTAGTGGGGAATCTTTACACCATATCACCACCATCTGCACTCATTCCTAATTCGGTGCCACATGACTGGCCGTGA